ACACCAGTGGCAGGGGCCATTTATTATCCTTTTGATGGTCATACTCTTTGTACATAACCAAGAAAGATTACAGAGGAAGGAGAGAACAGTTGCGATGTGGATGAAGAGATCCCACAATGGCATTGCATTTTATAATGTGCCCTGCATGTTTACAAGAATAAAAAAGATGTTTTCTTTCCAGATAGTTTTGAAACATGGAAACACAATTATTTTGAGTGAAAAATATTTCAAAAAGAATAAATATATATAGAGAGTAGATATAATTCTATATAAGCACGCATTTAGATTTCAGGTGCAAATTCAAAATGATTAAAAGAAAAGGACTACTATGTTTTGTTTTTATTTGGGCATTGTTAAGAAGACTATCCCTGATTAGCTTTGTTCAATTAATGAGTCTTTTGATATGTCATTTTATTTGGCATCATCTAGTGTCAATTGATTCTTTTGTTAATTTCTAACTTTGCAGTATATAAATTTTTAAACTCTAAATGATTGATTTAAGTTTTTTCCTAATTCTTTAAATCATATGCTGTAGTTACCACTGTTGAACAAACAAATAAAAACAAATATTGAATTATGTTGACTAGGTACAAGATAATTGAATATTGAATCAGATATAAATGGTACCTAGTTAGTATTATTTGTCCTAAATCAAAAGACTGATAAACAAATACATGTATTTATCTGCATATGAGTAGGAAACATTTTATTAGGGAGACCAATGGTAAAAGTATGACTTTATAGTGAGTTTTGTGCAGAAGCACTTAAACTGCTTAGTTGTTTATGTCAATAGATATGAAAAGAACAGTGGAAATTTCTGAAGGTCAAAGAAGTTACTGTCTTCTCTGTTTTGCATCATTTGAAATTTTCCAATTTTTTGCAAACAACACAATGCCAAATCTGTATTTGATTTCCCCTTTCCTTTGAAGAGGCAAAACAGTGACAGAATAATTAACTAAAGAGAAGATCACGTGCTGGATATTTTGCTTTAGCAGTGTAGAAAGTTCTGGGTTTCATGTCACATGATGGTAAATGTAGTGAGGTATCCTAGATTCCTTCTGGAAGAGAGCTAGTCCCCTGAGTATATCACTGTATGTAAACTAAAGCCTCCTGGGATCTGTTTCTTGTTTGTTTCATGTGATGGCAAAGCATGCTGTACCTGGCTTTCAGTTAGATGATGTTCCACACCTTCATGACTAAATACACACAGGAACTGCAGAAGGAGTTGTCAATGTCATGTTTGGTGCCTCCTTTGTTCTGTGCAGACCACAAAGCTCGGGGTGCTAATAATAGTGGCTTGTCTTTTATTTATTGATATTGCTGCTATTGTTAGTTTTTTCTTTCCTTTTTTTTTTTTTCTCCCAAGAGTCTTGTTTCCATCGTAATTTTCTTCCCATGGTATAACTATCATCATATTTGATAATCTTCAAAGAGATAAACTTTTGTTGTAAAAACTCTTGAAGACACCCATGAATTCCAATTCTGTTCCACAACGCGGCTCTCACTTGCTGCCATTAGTCAGTAAGTCACTGAACTACTTACTCTGGTACTAGTTTCTCCTTTGGTAATGTGTTTATTATTGGGACTATTTTGGGTTGAAGAATTTACTGTATCATTCTAGAAAATTTTTCTAGAATAAAATTGGGCAAGCTACTATGAAATTTGGAGCCTCATTATCACAAAGATCAATTTCTGGTTTAATATAACACATGGTATAGGCCAATGCTATTTACTGTTTTAAATAACAAATATTTGCATATCCATGTTTCTATCTCTTTAAAAAATAAAAATAATCATATCATCATTTAGAAAGGTTTTCTACATTTTGGGGGCTTAATAGAAGCTCAGTTTATTTCAGAGTAGCACTGGCAAACATTGGAAGAAGAGAAAGGAGAAGAAGCAACAGATTGAGGGTTTTTTTTTTTTCTTGTGAAAGTACCGCAGTGATAACAGTGTTCAAAGTGTTTTGCATCTGTTAACCTAGTTGTCCTCCTGACCCTGGGATGTGAGTACTATTACTACTAGTTTCTTTTTTCAGGTGAGGAAACAAAGGCATAGAGAGGAATTAAACCCAGGCCATCAGATCCCAGAACTTCTGGTCACCATGCTATGGTGACTCTACTGTATTTTACCTCCACATATTCTTGGGACTGGGTAGAGAATGATTTCTGGTTGTTGATTTATTTTCAGATGGTCTCTTCATGTTGTCTCTCAAAAAAACTCTAATTTTGGAAACTTTGACATCTCTTGCTCTTAATGCTAAATATAGAGAGGAAAGCAGAGCTGAATCAGAATACTTTGTATGAGATCCTTTCTTATTTAGTTTCAACAGAAAAATGTCAGTATTGTATTGAGGAATAAAAGAGTTCTCAAGTTTGAATTGTTATTCATAGGTTTTTAGTGGTATATTATTAAATGACTCATTTTCATTTTAACAATGAAATAGTTGATCTTTAACAATTACATGCAAATAATTAAGTCTAATTTTTTATTAAGGTACCTCAAACATATGACAGACATTTATTTGCATATGGATGAATAATATAATTACCTCTTCCTAGAACCATTTTTCACTTTCTTCTTCTTTCTACTTTTCCCTTACTTTTATTTATCCTTCAAGTCATGCCTTAGCTGTCATCCCTATGGGAAGCCTCCAGTGACCCCTGTACTAAGTGACTCACTTCTATTATTTATGCTTATACTATCCTATGTCCTCCATTATTTTAATTACTTTTGTTCTGTTTTAATTTTTATTTTTTTTAATTTCAGAATATTAAGGAGATACAAATGTTTTTACATTGTATAATGCTGAAGTCAGGGGTTTTAGTATGCTCATCACCAGAATAGTGTTCATTTTATCCAATAGGTATGTTTTCATCCCTTACCCTTTTCCCACCCTACCCCCTTCTTGGTTTCCAATTTCCTTTACATCTCCTTGTGCCCATGTATACCACGTATCCCTTAGCTTCTACTTATCAGTGAGAACATGTGGCGTTTGTTTTTCCATTTCTAGATACTGCACTTAGGATAATGGTCTCTGGTTCTATCCAAGTTGCTACAAAAGACATTATCTCATTCCTTTTTTATGGCTGAGTAGTACTCTATGATACATATATACCGCATTTTCTTTATCCACTCATGAATTGATGGGAAATTAGGTTGATTCCATATCTCTGAAATGGTGAATTTTGCTGCAATAAATAAACATCCAAGCACAGGGTGTCTTTTGATAAAACGACTTTTTTTCCTTGGGGGACATACCCAGTAGTAGGATTGCCAGATTGAATGATAAGTATACTTTTATTTTTTGAGGAATTTCCATCCTGTTTTCCATAGAGATTGTACTAATTTGCAGTCTCACCAACACTGTGTAAGTGTTCCTTTTTCTCTGCATCCATGCCAACATCTGTTCTTTTTTGACTTTTTAGCAATGGCCATTCCAATGTGGGTCAGGTGGTATTTTATTGTGGTTTTACTATGCATTTCCCTGATGATTAGTGATGTTGAGCATTTTTTTCATATATTTCTTGGCCATTTGTCTACTTTCTTTTGAAAAATTTCTGTTCATATCTTTTACCCACTTTTTGATATTTTTTCTTGCTGATTTTTCTGAGTTCTTTGTAGGTTCTGGATATTAGCCGTTTGTCAGATGAATAGTTTCTTGAAAATTTTAACTCCCTTCTGTAGGTTGTCTATTTGTTGATTATTTCCTTTTCTCTGCATAAGCTTTTTAATTTAATTAGATCTCATTTATTTATTTTTGATGTTGCTGCATTTGCCTTTGGAGACTTAATCATCAATTCTTTCCCTAGGCCAATGTCTAGGAGAGTTTTTTCTATGTTTTCTTTTAGAATTTTTATGGTTTCATGCCTTATATTTAAGTCTTTTTCCATCTTTAATTAATTTGTGTATATAGCAAGAGATCGGGGTCCTGTTTTAAATCTAATCTTAATCAAGAGAAATCATTATAGGTAGGTGAGATAAGCAGGAATGTATTCTTTATTTAAATTTTTTTTTTAAAAAAATGTTTAAGGTTTATAATAATTTTCATGTTTTTTTAAAAAAACTGTTTAATTGTGATAAAATACATACAATGTAAAATTTACCATCTTAATTATTTTGAAATATACAGTTTAGTGATAAGCATATTCACATTGTGTGCAACCAATCTCTAGAACTTTTTCATCTTGCAAAACTGAAACTCCATACCATTAGACAGCAACTCCCCATTCTCCTCCTCAGTGCCTGGCAACCACCACTCTACTTTTTGTTTCTATGATTTTGACTACCTCAGATACCTCCTCATAGATGAAATCATAGAGCATCTATCCTCTTGTGACTGGCTTATTTAATTTAGCATAGTGTCCTGAAGGTTCATTCAAGTTGAATACTTTCCTTCTTTTTTAAAGCTGAATAATATTCTATTGTATGTATATACTGTATGTTATTTATCCCATTCATTTGCTAATAAACGTTTATGTTGTTTCTACACCCTGGCTATTGTGAGTAATGCTGCCATGAACACGGGTACAAGTAGCACTTCTAGACCCCGATTTCAATTCTTTTGGATATATATCCACAAGTGGGATTGCTGGATCACATGGTATTTCTAGTTTTAATTTTTTCAGGACACACAAAACTGTTTTCCATAGCAATTGTACCATTTAACTTCTCAAAAATAGCTTACAAGAGTTCCAATTTATGCATGTCCTTGCCGAAGCTTGTTATTTTCTGTGTTTTGTTTTAGTGGTAGCCATTTTAATGGGTGTGTGAGGTGATAGAACACTGCGGTTTTCATTTTCATTTCCCTAATTCTTGTTTCTTTATGTTCTCTTTTAATTATCCATTATGGCAAAAAGAAACATAAATAGTTGTGAATCCCAAATATTTGGAAATAATTTTATTCAATTTTACTTTTATGATGTCTTCATTGTTATTTTCAAAATATTTTATTTTTGATTGTGCTTTAAGCCCAGACTTTATCTATTATTTCTTTGTAGCTGTTCTTCAGGTGGTGATAGTAGTAGATCTGGAAAATTCTTCAAACATCTCCATTTTGTGCTGGTGTCAGTATTTTCAGAACTTCAATTAGCTCAATGGCAAAGCCAGGGCTTCTGGTACATTATCCTGCTGATGGCTTCTCTCTGGTTCCTGAGGCTCTACCTGCATTACCTGGGCCAGTGGCTTTTCCTCCAGGCCATTTCAACTCCTGTTACAAAGTGAGTGCTTTCCCCTGAAAGTCAAAGGAATGCATTTTCACCTTGATAGGACAAATGAAAGTACAAAACACCTCTCCCATGCATTTACCATAAGACCTAAAATGCAGGTATGATTTGAAAAGACAAAAATGCCTTTATCTAAGAGCAAGAACTTCTATTACAGTTATCATCTCATCTTATGGGCCTGTATATACAAGTACATAACTGGTACATCAATATTTATTTAAAATTCAGCAGATTCAAATACGTTCTAATATCTGAGCAGGATCCAAAAAGGAATTTAGCAACAATGCCTTATTCTATTTTGATTTTATCAGAGTGACTTAGGCTGAAGGTATTTTAGAAGTAACATAAGTGTGATTTATCACCTATACACAGAGAAGCAAAGATTGCTTCTTCTGCAAAATGATTGAATTCAAACAATTACCAAACTCAAGCCCAGGCAGCTTTCTGGGCCATTATCCTCTGGAAAAAGATGACACTTTAAAGGTTATCTCTCCATAAACATGATTCCATAGACACTATAGATAGACAAACAGATAGACATCTATACAAGTAAAATTCATTTTCTCAAATGTAGATGGTACAGATAAAAATAAAGATGTGTGTATATTTTCAATTAAGAAGATTGCAAAGAACTTTAAGACTTTATAAAAATAACATGTGTTTATATATATATATATACAGATACACATATAGTTTTTGATAGTTTTATAGAATTAAGACAAATATATGAATATGTTATAGAATATGCAAATTTATGTATATTAAATGACTGCAGTTTCAAGGAGTAATTTTTACATGGATATTCCCTCCCTTCCTCCTTTCTTTCTCTTTCCCTTTTTCCCAAGGTTTCCAAAGCAGAAAGGACATGTTATATGTTTGGGTTGTTGCTTTTTGTCATCTGCTCTTTTATTCTTTAATAGAAAAGGAAGGCCTATCTTTATTAGCTGTTAATAAAATGAGACTGCAGAAAATATCTTGATAACCCAGTTTAGCCAATTTCTTAAGCAAAAGAGGATATAAGGTATTGTAGGATATTTTACTGGCTATTGTCTCAGTTGCAGGCTTGAATCACACATTAGCTCTGTGTCTTATCTTAGCTGTGAAAAATGGCAATAATGACACCAATGACAATCATTTCTTCTGTGCTCACTCTGGGTTAGATACTATGTTAAGAAATGTATGTACATTACTTTATTTGAGATTCACAACAGCATAAAAACAAAGCTTAAAATTTCCTTTGAAGCAAAGGTCAAGAAGTGAATAAAATAAGTTTTTTTAGTAGGGATTTGATAAGTAGAATGCACAAGCAGGATTAACTATGGAAGAGCTCTACATAGGCTAAAATTCAGGGGAGAGAAAACTTAAGAATGAAATGAAGTCTCACCTTGCACAGAAAGATGGTACCAAAGCTTGGGCCAAAGGTGCTAGAATCAATAGGCTCACATTGGATTTAACCCCTAGGACCTCAGGTTGTGTCAAATTGGCCATTTCAGAACAACCAAGAAATAAGATATCTTACTTCTTGGTTGTTAGTAGTGGCAGTGTTTTTGTTGATGTATTTGAGAATCTCACTAGAGGAATCTCAAGTAAAATTAATCAGCTATGCTAAAATTCTAAAGAATTTTTAGATTTATATCTATCTCTCATTTCTGTTAGAAATTGACCTGTTAGAAAGTCCACTGGTGTGTTTTGCATTTTAAATAGCCTACTAACCAGTTCTGTGTGATCTGCAGGGAAGTTCTTAGTCAATAGAATGCTCTCTCAGGGGCTCAAATTGACATACCTTCTATGGTTCTACATGACACCTGTAAGAACAATGAACAGGGCAGAATTTGCCTTTTCCTTGAGAGTGAGCTGTTGAGGTGGTACTAACTAACACTAGGGTTGGAAAAAGATATGAAAATTTCTGACACTTAATTCTGGGGTACTGTTAAGTGTGCCAAGTTTTCTGTATTTAAGAGAAAAAGAAACAAAGGACATTGTTCTTTAAATTGTTTTGTGCCTTTGGCCTTTTGTATAATTTCTCTTGTTTGCTCATATGTGATTGCTTTGTTTTTCATCAGATTCCATTTTTCTCCTCACACTGTTGAGCTTTGCTACCCAACTTCTTCACTTCACATCGGAGAGGAGTTGCCTGTGGTCGTGGTTGGGCCTTTAATGCTGAACGCAGTCGTGTTGCTTTTGGTTCTGATCAGATGGGGCTGTCGGCTGCTGTTTGCCTCCTGCCCTGATGCCTTGTCAAAGTTAATCACTACCATGGGCCTATGGACAGTTCTAGACCCATTGGCAGTGTTCATAGTGGATACTCTCCTGGGGGTAAGTCAAATAAAATAATTGGGATATGAGTCCTTGACATAGAATTTAGCTTTAGTGCATGAATCGGTGGGCATGGAAAGTTTCAATAATGATGAACATTCAATATTCATCTTAAATTGAAGTTAAGTTTTTCCTTATAAAAAATCATGGATGTCTAATAAAATCAATTTAAGTGTAATTTTAACTATCTGAAATAAACCCTTGTAAAATAAGCAGGAAATCATGTTGGAGATCAAATCCCAGCTTGCTGTAACATTTTCAAAATTATTATAAAGAAGTTTTCTTTTGCAACTTTTTTTGATAACTTTATTTCTAATATTAATATTAAGGATTTCCATAGGCAAATTTTGCAAAAAAACGTTCATTCAATTGGTTAGGTCACTTATCTGCTTTATGATGTAATATTCTTTTTAAATAAAAACACTCTAGAATAAGAGCTTTTAAAACATTTCTAAGTAATAAATAAATTTTTAAAAATCACCCCATAGGCATTTATTTTGACTTTTGTGATGATTATGAAGTGACAAACATCGTGAGTGCATTTCACCCTAAAATATATAGTTTTAGCATTTCATGGATATGAATGATGTACTCAGGTTCATAATAACATATAAATAATGGTAATGATGATTCTAATATTTGAAGAGTGCTTTATATTTTTCAAGAATCTTCATGCAATAGATTTAATTACATATTAACAACAATGTATGTTGACAGGGCAAGTATCTCCTTGTTTTACAACTGGGAGAAACCAGATGCATAGAATTACACATCTTATCTGTGGCCTTATAGCCAATTTGGATTGCACCTAAGACAAGGAACCAGATTTCTGAATTCTGAGACTGTTGCTTTTTTCCATTATATTAAAAATCTCTACTTCAAATTTTCAGTCAATATATTGTTCTGTGGAGTTAAATGTGTGCTGTCCCTGATGAAAATTATTTGTTTACATCAAATATTTAATTTGCTCATGAATTTGGGGGCTACAATATGAGGCAGAATTGGTGTGGACATTAGTGTGAGTTGATTGCCGCATGCAAATCCAAATCTCTAGTTGCTCTGAATTTGCGAGCTTCCTGGTGAGTGTCACTGGAAGGTGCTGATCTCAAACCTTACTTGGCATCAGAATCTATTGGAGGTTTGGTAAAACACAGACTGCTGGACCCCACTCCTGGAGTTCCTCTTTCAGTAGATCTGTAGTAGAGCTCAAGAATTTGCATTTCTAACAAGCTCGCAGATGACATTGATGCAGTTGGTTTGAGAACCACTGGCATCATAGCTGCGTAGGAATGCTCTGATGCGCAGTCTGAGAGGACCCAGAAATGGTAACACAGCTTGGAAGATGCCAGCTCCAGCTCAGCCACTACTCAGCGGGGCATCCTTGACTGTGCTGCCTATTGGTCACGACCTCCAACTTAAAATTTAGTAACTTTGTCTAAGCTCCATTTAGGTTGCCAATTGTTTTAGATTGAATTCTCAAAGCAAAATGAAAGACATTGGCAAATAATGGGATAATTCAAGCCAAAAACCACTTTAACTTGGAGTCATCAAAGTTTTAAGCAATTTCAATGTGCAAAAGAAGGAAAATATGAATTTTAACTAAATTTTTATGCTGTAGACATGGTCATAAAATATAGCTCCAAGATGAGAGCAGATGGATACTAGGATCAATATGATCAAATATTCATTTATAAAATCATCTTAATATATGCAATAATATTCCACATCTGGTATATTTCTCCTTTAAGAAGAAAAGGAAAAGTTTCATATCGAGATCATAGAGATGGGTTGTTTCGATGGACTCTACTTGTTAACTGTATTTGAAATTGATTCTACCATCAATAATGTGCTTTTAGAACTAAAAACCAATTGCCATCCAAACTGCATCTGTGAAGATATTTCACATCTTGGGTGCTGGAGTAGGCAGCTAAGGCCACAGGGACTGTTGATGTTTCTGTCTCTCCATTTCAGGCCACGCTATGCTGTGGCAATGTTTCCCAAACTTTAAGGTGCTTGCAGTTTCCCAGGGGTCATGATTAAATGCATGCTCTGATTCAGCAGGTGCAGCCTGAGACTCTGCATTTCTCGTAGATTCCTAGGTGATGCCAATGATGCTAGTTCCATGGACCACACTGAGTAGCAAGGTGCTAGATACTTGACTGAGAAGGTCCCTCCCTTCACTTTGCTGCTTGCTGGGCTGAGCCTTCATGTGCTGAGGACTCCTGGGCTGTTCTTAAAGAGACTGAGATCCTTTGGATCCACTAACGTCTTTCTAGATTTCATGTGAGAATTCTGACTGCTTATTTCTGAGTGGAAATGACTTCTGCTAGAAATGCTTACAACCTGCCAACAAGTATGATTGTTGATTCTCATGGTTTAGATCATTTAACATTATTAAAATGAACTAAAATGCTGCATGTCAAGCCCATCAATGATCTAGTTTCTAGTTCCAATGCTAGGCATGGGAGGTAGAATCGTGTGCCAAGGAAAGCTCATCAATATTGAAAGGCAGACCACTCTGCAAAACCTCAGTACCATTGAACACCCTGACAACATGGCGGAACAGGGAGCGTTTTGAGTCAGAAATAGTTGTGTTTTCTACCCCATCTCTAAGTATTTTTCATCCTGCTGATTAGCCACATTCTGATTCTGAGTGGATTGACCCGGAGCAGCCAGTTTCCATTCACATGCCTACCTCTCTCATTCTCCAGGTTAGCAGGAAGGAGACTGCTGTCAAGGTTTGTTGAGCAGATGTGGAGTGGAGGGCGTCTGCATTCTGGGAGGATCACATTCCTTGGCATCTCACCATTCTCCCAGAGGCCTGGTGTATGTACTGAGCAGGCAAAAGCTACAACACCACATGGGAAGCCATTAGGGGAGGATGAGCAGCTGACCCTGTGATCTTCTGAGCTCTCCTCAGAAGGATGTCTGCAGCCCTCCTGGAATGGCTTTTCTTATTCCAGTCGGGTCCCTTAGGTAGATTAATAGCTGACCAGTCCACTGCATCCAAGGCAGCTGACAAAATGAGCAGACTTACTTTACTCCGGGACCTCTGATGTAATCTATAGGAGGGTAGCCGCCATCATGGCCATCTCAGAACCGGGTCACAGGTCCGCGTAACCTGATGGAAGCTGACTTGGATTCTCACAAATGAGCAGAACACCCATATTTCTCTCCACTTGGAAAGAAAAGCTAGAGGTTTGTTCCAAATATGCACAAATTATTCACCCTCCAGTATGAACCCTCCATCATGTTTCATTGCAGATGACATCTACTTTTGCTGTCTTTTAAAAATTTCTAACACTAAAAATTTCTAACGTAATCCACAGATTGGCAGCACTGGAGTCCCCTGGGAATCTGTGGGAAGGCACTCAGATACACCTGATTGAATCAAAATATGCATTGTAACATGTTCTTCAGGTGATTTGACGCGCACTGAAATTTGAGAAGAGCTGATCTAAAGCAGTGGCTCTCAAAGTGTGGTCCCCAAACCAACAGCATCAGCATCTCCTGGGAACTTAATAGAAATGCAAAATCTCAGACCTTGCACCAAATTACTAAGTCAGAAAGAAACTCTGGGGAGGGGCCCAGAAAGCTGTCTTTCAGCAAGGCTTCCAGGTGATTCTCATGCTTTTTAAAGCTTGAGAATTGCTTCACGTGGGATTCTGATTACCATGGATTAAATGCCACTCATGAGACTCAGGTTGCCTGAATTCATACCTCCATGTCCTTCAGCATTTCCTTTTAACAGATAAAGTTGAGGATGATCTGGATTTGATCCAGGTCAACCAGCCCAGAGAGATGCTACCTAACTTTACTGATATTTTCTATTCTGAATGCATCTTGTTCATGGCAATCTAAAAGGAGATGTGGCAGGTAGATTGGTTTGAGGCTGGAGTGCTGAGGGGCTGTCGATGTTGGTAGTAATGCTTTTCTAGTCTCTCAGTTGCTGACTCAGAGGTTGGCAATGCATTGATGATACTATGTTCAATGATTCCATTCAGCTCATACATTCTTTCTCTGCCTGACCTCTAATTTGGGTAAAAAGTAGAGGAAAGATTTGCTATTGAATGTTTTACTTGATCAGCATATAGTTATTGACCATATATATTCTCTGCACAGGATTTTAAAACATACAGCATAAATATGGCATTATTACTGCCCTTGATAGTGAGATAAGAAAAAAAAAAAAACCACAAACACGAAGATTAAATAAAGGTATAATGCAAACATGGTCTTTTAGCAAATAATTCTTGACATTACATGTCTTAGTCTGTTTTGTGCTGCTGTAACAAAATACCAGAGACTGGGGAATTTATAATGAACATAATCTGGAGGCTAGGAAGTCCAAGATGCAAGAACCTTCTTGCTGTGCCATCCTATGGCAAAAGAGCAAATAGAGTCTAAGAGAGGGCAAGAGATTGAACTTGAAGCCCTATGCCATTTTATAATTGTCATTAATCATAAACACCTCTCATTGCCCCCCCCAACACTGTTGCATTGGGGGTTAAGTTTCCAGCATATGCTTTTGGGGGGACACATTGAAATCACAGCACTCCATTAGAATGACTATGGTGTAGTAGAAATACACAGATTTGGAGTCAGTAGGAGGTGGGTTCTGGTCCCAGCTCTGCCATTTGTCTGCTATATGATGTTGGATAAGTCAGTTAACCTCTGTTTTCTCTTTCCCTCATATGCATAAAAAAGTAGTTATGCCTACAAATAGTAATAGCTACCTTACTCATTTCACGATAATGTTGGGAGAATCAAAGGAGAGGCTAACTGGGAATAAACCTTGAAAAGTCTACATACAACATAAAAGAAATGAAGGATTATAATGAGATCATAATACCATGTGGATGACGTAAGATGTAAGAGCCATTGTCCCAGTGTTTAGGCTGGCACTTAACAATCGATTTGGGAAATGGAAATATACAGTCCCCCCCAGGATGTAGTATGGGCAGTGTGCGAGGAATGCCATTTGGGAAGTACAGGGCACAGTCTCTTATATCCGTCAGATCTTTGCTCAAATGCCACCTTTTTAAGGATGCCTTTCCTGATAGCAATACTTAGTAACACACTTTTATCTGTCTTATACCATTTTTCTGCTTTATATTTTTCTTCCTAATATGATCCTCTGATATATCATGTACAATAATTTACTTAATTTTAATCTTGCATGTAGGCTTACTACAATTTACATGTCCCTTCCCTACTTAAATGTGAGCTAAAAGAAGGTAGAATTTTTGTCTAATTTGATTTACTATTTTATCTTCAGTGCCACATGACAAATAGTAAGCATTCAACACATGTGGGACAAACAAAAGATGAGCATCTATTGATGAGATTATGTTACTGTTATCAAACATGCATCTTTTTTTGTTTCATTGATGAGTGCCCTGTCCATTTCATTACCTTTAAGAAACAGCAGAAAGGAGAATTACAAGGCAGCTCTTACAATCTACAACTTAAAGTCTTAGCAAAAGATCCACATTTTGCAAGGAAGACTTATTAACAAGTACAGAATATCAAAATAAAAGTTTTGGGGTGGTGGTCAAAGAAACAGTAGCTGAGAGTTGGAACATCTAAATTCTAGTCACTGCTCAATCACTAAAGTTTGTTTTGGTATAGGGAAAACACAGAGTCGCCTTTCTAAGTTTCTGTTTTCATCTGCGGCACAAGTGATTTGGATAAGCTAGTTTTAAATGTGCCTTTTTAAGCTCTAATTACATAAATGCCAGTTTAAAAAACTAAACAAATTCTTCCTTGTTTCTTGCATTGGAGAAAAGATACCTTACTTTACATTTATATTGCATATTACTTTCACTTGATAGCAGGAGAGTCATAATTAAAGAACATTCATATTTTATAAAACTCAAAGGTCAATGATGTCAAATGATAATACTGTAGGTCCTTAGAAACTTGTGTTTGTTTTATAAAACCCCATCATCTCATATTCATTTCTAATGTGATATAGAATATGTCTTTCCTTGTCTAAAATAAGGACTTATTGTTAAATTAACTTAATGTAAACTTTTCAAGCTCATATCAAGTAGCCTGATAACTCTTTTATAAGTTTCTAAAATAAGCCATCTCTTTTATGCATAGCACAAATTAAATTCCTATCAAATCTGCTTCAGAAAAAAAAGAATATTTCTACCACCATATTTAATTTCTTCATATCTTGTGCTCATTAAATCCAAAAGTTAATAGTACATAAATAAAACATGGCTTTTACTTTATGAATTGCATGTCAAGTGTGAGCATTTAAAGGCCTAAAGGGAAAATGAGAAAAACCTGGTAAACCAAGTGTGCAAAACCCAACCTTTTTTTTTTCTTTTCCTTTGTGCACCTGAAGGTCTGGCAATATTCAGTGCCTAGAAGATTTAATTTAAAAATAAATGATAGTGTCATAAAGTCTTTGTGTATTTAAATTCCTCTAACTTGATGATACGTGTTTTCATTCTTACTTTTTCGGTCGTGTCAGCGGCTTACACCTAGTGGGGAGACTCCTGTAGCTGATGCAGCAAAACTCTACTGGATGTTTGTAAGGACCATGCAACCGGGCCTTCTTGGCGTGGTGATCACAGGGTTACTTTACAGCCTCCTGTTCATCATTTCTTCTTTGATTTTCTATGTGTTCTGTCTCAGGTAAGGTGCTTCAGTTACTTTGTTTTTAAGAGTGTTCAGCCTCCAGACCTGTTGTTACACAGTTAGGTTGTGAGACCACGGTTAAAGAAGAGAAGTTACACCATGTCCACATTGCTAAGGTAGACATTTTTAACATCTGTCTCAAAGGCCAGCCGAAAAAATTATTCGACTTTTAGGAAAATATTTTCTGCGTGGTAGAGACAGTGCTATTAATAATTGTACTATGAATCATTAGACTTGTTTCTCCAAACCAGGAACCAACAGGAAACAAGGAGTAAGCTTTTGATATCCAATGACATTCTGGGAAATTTCCTGGGAAGCTTGTCTAAAATTAATTTTTCTCCTTCTTCAAACTTGCTTTCTTCTGACGTTTTTCATTCCTGCCAAAATCACCAGTAGAAGAATCATCTTTCGGTTTTGATCCTGAATATCACTGGGTCATCAATTAAGCAAGCACTGTGTTTGTGTGAAGAAAGACAAGAAAACTGACAAATACGAGGCAGTATGAAACTAGGAGGTTGTTTTACTCTTTTGCTTGTTTCCTTTGCTGTGCAGAAGTTTTTATTTTGATGTAGTCAACTTGTCTATTTTTGCATTTGTTTCCCATACTTTCATGAAATCGTTGCCAAGACCAAAGTTGTGAAGCTTTTCCCCTATGTTTTTTTCTAGTACTTTTCACAGTTTCAGGTCTTATGTTTATGTTTTCGATCCATTTTGAGTTGATTTTTTGTGTATGGTGTAAGATAGGGTCAAATTTCACTCTTTGGAATGGGGATATCCAGTTTTCCCAGCACTGTTTGTGGGAAACAGTTTGTTAAGACTGTTTGTTCCCCATTGTGTATTCTTGGCACTCTTATTGAAGATAAGTTGACTGTATATGCATGGATTTGTTTCTAGACTCTCCATTCTGTCATATTGATCTATGTATGTCTTTATGCAAATACCACACTGTTTTAACTACTGTAGCTCTGTAATATAATCATGTAATTCCACTTCAAGGTATTTATCCAAAATAATTGAAATTGGGATTTCAAAGAGATACTAGCATTCCCATATTCATTGGAACATTAGTCACAATAGCCATGATGTGGAAGCAACCTAAAGGTCCATTAATAGATGAATAGATAATGTGGCACATAATCCAATGGAATATTATTTAGTCATAGAAAAGAAAAAAATCCTGCAATATGTGACGACATGGATAAGCTTTGAGGACATTATACTAAGTGAAATAGCCTGGTCATGTAAGGACACAGACCACATGATTCCACTCACATGAAGTGTCTAAAATAGTCAAACTCATAGAAACAGAGTGATTTCTAGGGGTTGAGGGTAAGGGGAAATAGAAAGTTGCCACCAAATGGCAGCTGAAAGTGAAGGAGGGGATGACCTTTAGTATAACCTGAAGCTTTGGAGTTGGGCAGTTGGGGCATGGCCATAGCAATCTCAGAGGCAGGAAGTAAAGAGTAAATGTTTATGGGAGATAGATAATGAGTTAACTTCTCTTTCATGATGACTTTTCATGTTGAGATATCTTTGATATTGCCAAGGGAAAATATGTTATAAGAAGTTGGAAAGATGAGTGTAGAGCTTAGGGAAATTAATATAGATTTTAGATTTGTATGGTTGAAGCCTTGAGTTTCACTGCCTTGAAAAGTATAGACTAACTCTCAGTGGACTGACTGACTGAAGGATGTGGACATAGAGTCGGTACTTAGCGACAATTTTCTTTTTTTTCTTTTGGCAGAGCTATGCTATAAATGGAAAGTAGATAGAAAAAGATATTTCAAAAAGTAGTTTTTACAATATGGGTGTAGTTTGAATATATTTCTATGCGGAGATGAAAATGCTAAAGAAAATAGAAATATTGAAAGTACCTAAGCAGGAGAGGATAATTGAGTGAAGTCTCTGAAGACACGAGGTAGAACGCAGGTGGAGACAAACCTTGGATTTAGGGAAAAGCTCTTGTCTCTTGATGTGATAAAGAAAGAGGTGGGAGTGAATGCAGAGGGTTGGGGGTTTGTGGCAGGAGGATGTTGAGGGACTTCACATATGATAGTCATTATTTTCTATGAAAGGGGGATTGAACTCACTGCTCAAGTCTTCCTTCAGTAGACTGATCGTTCTCTGATGCAGCCTTTAGGTCACTAACCTAGCTGTAGTAAAATTGCCTAATTCTCCAGGGGATGTGTGTTGTTTAGGCACAGGCTTGGTTTATATTTTGACATGTCATAAGCAGTGTATGTCATCTTTCCAGAGCACTTACTTTCTCAGGGAAGGGCTGACAGTCTTCTCCGATCACTCAGTTTTCATTTGACCACTAACTCGTCATGTGGCCCTAGGCAAGGATGTTCATTTGCTAGATTTTAGGCATTTTCTTGAGTAACATGATAAGAAAATAATGTATGTGTAGATTTTTACAACAGGCTCTCCATGAATAATCACTCTATTATTTAAAATGGCTAGGTTTCCCAGAGAAGTTAAAGAAATGAAATAGCATGGCATGTAGTTTAGACTTTGGTAGGATTAAAAAAAATTATCAAATGTTTTGTCTCATTTATTTCCACATCAGAAAAATCCCTGTTACTCAAAACAAAATGAATATTTACAGTGATACTATTGTCTGAGGTCTATGTTTTTCTTATCTAGATTATTTGTAAAGTATAAAAAAGTCAACATAGAATTTATGCACCAAATAAATATGATTTAATGTTTTGCTACCTAAAGCAAATGGGTAAACACCCATTAAAATATTATGATTAACCCGCAGGGAAGTATGGGTAGGAAGAGTGGGAAACTCTGTTACAGATAGAGAAATTATTAAGTTTAATACAAAGACAGATAGAATGCCTGGACAGCATGGAGAATGAACCTGGAACAATTCGGGAGAAATAAACAAGTTTTTTTGCTCTTTCAACCTAGCCCTCATTGTCTTCCATGCTTAACCTGTCCTGTCCAAAGTAGGTGTGCTTAGTTACCCCACACAGGGATTGCTTGTATTTTAGAAGCAGATGCTTTTAAGATTCCTTCAGATAATGATAGAATTACATTTATCTCCCACAGGGAAAATATCGATATTTTCCATATGAATAAATCAAGTCACTCTAATACATCAGCTGAAAATATCTCCTTACTGCTGTTTGCAAAGTATCTCTGAAAGGGTAGGTTGCTGGCCAGCCCAGTCCTCTTGTGAAGCAAGCACTGTCCATAGCACATGCATGCAGGGGAGTGAGGTTTTGTTCTAGCATAGCATCAGTTAAAGAGACACAAATCGTAAGAACTCATCTTAGTGAAAAATGGCAATGTGGATTTGTGCATGTTGGCTGATTTAGGCTAGTATCCTTAATCAAAATATGAAAGCCATAACCCTGAACCTTTCTGAGTCTTCGAATCAGTGCTGTAGACACGGTAGTGATAACATGGCTACACTCACACGAGCACAAAGGAGATGGAGTCTGTTGTGCTGGTTGTTAATAAAGAATTTTGTCTCGCTCTGGGCACTGGAAGCTCCGCATTATGGAGCCTGGCTGTGCAAACTCAAGATTGTACCCTTTTGAGTTTGGCTGATTGGATCTCATTCTTCCAAGAGCCCGAGTAATTTCTTGCTGAAGGGTTTCTACTAGAAAAATTCTCATTCTCTGTGGTTCTGAAGGGAGAGTTGACTGGGACGCCAGTTCCTTGCCTCTGTGCTGAGTATAATTATTTGGACTTGAGTTTATAGTTTTAAAAAAGCATTAACATTTTAAATTATTTTTTTCTTATTCTTGAAAGAATATATGTTTTCTATGAAAAAACTGAAACTACAAAAAAAATCAAAGAGTAAATAAAAAAAACACAATAATCTCATCATTTAGTCAAAGCATTGTTAATTTTTTGGTAAATTTATTTCAACCCTTTTCCCCACATACATATATTTTTACAAAGTTGAAATTATATACTATGTATAATTTCATATGTTGATCTTTAACTTAATATATGTGATAAATATTTTTATATTCTTTATTACCTTCATAAATATTTAATGCCTTAACTTTATTTTATACTGCTTATACAGTATAAAATATTTAAATACTTCTTTATTGCTGGACAATAGATTGTTTCACATTTTTGTGCATCTTATAAATAATTCTGATGAGCATTTTAAGGCATAGGGTCTTGTCTACATTTTAAATTATTCTTTGAATAGAATCCTAGATACCCAGAAATAGTGGTTCAGAGAAAATAATGTTTCTAAGACAGTTGATAACTATTGCAAAATTGTTTTCTAGAGAAGTTATGTGGGTTTATACATGAGGGAACTTACCAAACTATATTCCATTGTGTGTTAACCTTTTTTAATCTAATAGAAGAAATGCTATTTCATCCTTTTCTAAATGTGCATTCTTTTGTTTACTAGTCAGTAATCATTCTTAATATGCCTATTACTCATTCATATTTCCTTTTCTGTGAATTGTCTTTAAGTGTCCTTTTGCCTTCCTTTTTCTATAGGGCATTCCAATATTTTTCTTACTCAATTATGTAAGTTTTATATATATTTACAGTAATAACCCTTTGCCATATTTTTAACACATACTTTATTTGCTGATTATCATTTAAATTTATTTTTTGATTTTTAAAAAACAGTTATTTAAAATTCACTTGAAGTCTTTTATAATTCTGTGACATTTAAATAATTCTTAAATTTAAAGAATTCTTACCTTTTAAACATTTTTGTAACTATTTTTATTTTTTACAGTTTGAATTTTTTTATTAAACTGCTTATCATAAGCTATGTAGAAATCATTTGATGAGGATAGTGTCAAGTTGTAAAAGAGACATTGTTTTATCTTTTATTTTATTGGCCTTTTCTGTAAGTTGGTATTATCTTTAAAGATTAGCAGTTTTGCCATTTTATGTTACTGGGCTTTATTTTAAGTAATTTTAACTCATCGTTTTATGTTTCCAGTACTATGGACAGAGTGAGCTTCTTTTTTCTAGAGATCCTTTTTCAAAATTTACCT